TATATTTTAGATTATAAATTTTAATATATTCATCAATTTAAAATTTATAATTAATAAAGAATGAATTATTTACTTAATTCCTGTATATTAATTTGCAATAGAGTTTACATTACTATTTATTCTCAAAATAATATATAGGTAATTAATTATCAATAATTCTATATTTTTAAAATTAGAAGTTGGTAAGAAAATTATTCAAAATGCCCCGTAAAACACATTAATTTTTAATATAGCTCTATTCACTATACAGTCATCCTCCTCCATCTAATTATTATTATCAAAACTCAATGCTTCGCAGCATCAACGTTACAGTTATGAGCAGAAGGTCACCGTTGTCAGTGAACCGAAACAAGTGACCGAGTAACTAGAACGAGACTCGACCCGATGCTGCCAGTTAAGGGTCGAGGAATCAGCGCGCGCGGTCGGATGAGCCATCCAAGTGGATCGTGGGAGCTCGTTGCGAGATTTAAATCAGAAATCTACGATGAGAGAGAAAGAGAGAAAGAGATGATACTCACCTATGATAGTGTGAACCCTCACGGACAGCTGAGTCCTGAGAATAATCGCGTTCTTCCGGCTGTAACAAAAAGAATAAACAATGCGATCGATTAGTATGCGTGTCGAAATGTTGATTGCTGCGCGAGTTACATATGTAATTAAAGATACAGAGGCAGAGAAGATGAGAAAGGCCTATTGCCCTACTGAAACACGTTATTATTCATCCCGCGGATGGATACTAATTAGTTATGGCCGTAAATTAATCGCATTCAGTAATTACTTAATTAGGACTCGGGGCGTCCTTAATTCACTTGCACAGTGTGTGAATCTCAACAAATATGTTTTTATGCCATATGTACTCAAATTTAGATTTATAAATTTGCAATTATAATATAGTCTTTGTTCTGACATAACAACACAATAACCTGATAACGCAGTTATTACCATTTGTTTCTTGAATGAACTTTCTTTGAATCGTTTCTGAATCAATCAACTAAGTAAATAATTAATGGCTTGTAATGTTATCCAGACGAAAAATTAACATAATTTCAACATAATTTTTCATCGTTGAAATACCCAAAATAGAAAAAAATTTTTTAAATATTTTTTCCAGAAAGTTATATAAACGATAATTATATATTAACACATTGTTTATTCAAGGATTCGATGTAAAAACTAATCAGCTCTATTTTTTTCTATAAAAAATAACTTTTCAAGTAAATTTAACGTGACAAATATTCCATGTTATCTTTTTATATGTATAAGAAATGAATAGATCCATGATTTATAAATTAATATTTTATCATAAATAAAATTGACTGAGTATTAAAAAGCCATATTATGTTAATTATTTTTTAAGTAAAAAAAAACTAGAGAATGTTTCTTTTCTGATTGACAAATACGTATCAGAGAACGATAAATGATATAAAAGATATAAATAAAAATGGTATTATAACCGATTCTATTGAATCATAAATCTTTTTGGAAGGACTTGACATTGATGACAACAATATTAAGGTTAACATTAACAGTAATAGTATTTACTACTTTTACTATTTATTGAATAAAATTACATTTTAACAATGCTAAATTTTCGATTTTTATTTTTGAAGCAAAAAATTAACAGCTTTATTTAAGAAAAATATCTTTTTATAAAAACTACTATTCATTACTAATAAAATTTTTTTTATTCAAAAACATATTAACAAAATGATTTTTACATATTTTAATCAGCGTAAAATATTTTGCATAATATATATATATATTTGTCAAAACAATTTTTTATTAATACAGCAAAGGAGGATATTAAAATAAATTCGATTTTTACTCAAAAAGATGTAAGTAAAAAAAATAGTTTTTTTTAGATTTTGATTTTCCACATAATAAAGTCAGCAAAAATTCATGACATTTCAGAAACACTTCGAAAATTGAGCAAAAACATTGCAATTTGAATAAATACACAATAATTATGTTCAATTTTCAAGGTGTTTATCAAATGCTACAAACTTTTTAATAACTTTACCATATCCATACAAGAAGTCAAAATGTATAAAATATACTATTTCTTTTATTTATACCTTTTTAAACAAAAATTTCTTTTTAATACCTCCTTTTAAAAAATAAGCAGCTCGGTTTTTTCTAAAAATTGGCTTAAATTGATAACTTTATTAGGCAATGTGATTAAAAAGAAATTATGAAATAGAATTATAATTACAAACTTTTATGTGACACATAGTATCAACTATGCATAAATTCTGTCCTAATTGCCATACAACTAGACAAGCTAATTGACTTTCGGATAGGAAACTTTTGGAGTGGATTATTCCATAAGCGTCCCAGCAGTTCCCTACGGAATAGTCAAGTAGCGTCGAACTCATCATATGACAACTGTAATGGAGTTCTCATGAGCGTATCAATTCGCAAAGGGAAACGTTCATCGATTTTGGTGTAAATGCTGCTTCACAACAACGTGCCTCGATACATAAATTGGGTTAGAGTGGCGCACTCGACTTCCCTGTGCATATCACCTCACCTTGGACGGCGCGAACTTTAAGGCCCTGCGAACCTTCCCACGCCACGTCGCTGAGAAACCGCGACGACCAGACAATGGCTTTCAGAAAAAGAAGGGGGGAAAAGAAGCGACGAAGAGTCGTCGGCATAGCGGCGATGGTGGCGATGGTGCGCGGAGGTAAAAAAAACTCGAGTATACGCTCGTTAATAATGTTTCCGCTCGTTAAATGAGGGAGTCAGAATGCGATTACGCACCCTGAATTTCCCACGAATAATGGCGGACAGCAGTATGTTAGGCGACCCCTCTTAAATGCCAGCAAAGGGCATGAATATAGAGTGCAATAGGCCAAATTACAAAAAAAACGGTATAGCAAATAATATTAAACGTTTTTAAAAAAAAATGGGAAAATGAATAATTAAATCTTTCAGAGAGATTCTTAAATAATACAATAAGATATAATACAATAAATAAAAAAATGGGAAAATAAAAGATTTTTGGTAAAAGACATATTTAATCACAATTTTACAGATTCAAATTTAAACATGGTAAATAAAACAACCGAATATATATATAAATATAAATACAAAATCATAAGGTATTGTGTTACGAGTTATTACAAAAAGTAAAATAAAAAAATATATAAATAAAAGATAGATTAATTTAAAAAACTAATTTAACGAATACCGTAGCCAATTTATCTAATGGCTTCACTTAAGTGTAATGGTATAATATAAAGTATAATATAATTGAAATGACATGGAATCTTTTAATTTTATCTAATTGAAAGTTTATGCATTTTT